CGACCTTCGAATCTCTTCACGCAACACCTTCACTCAAAATGGAAGTAAGCTCAACAATTATGAAACAAGATATTCCTCGAAACCCAAATTTTCTTCGCATATAATACAACCTTTCCTCAAAAAGGTGTGAAATTCAAGTCATCATCTACTTTTCCTTCCTCATACTCCATCTCCATATTCCCCTTCTTCTCTTCCTCTTTCTCCTCCTCCTCCCTTTCCTTCTCACCCTTCTTCTTTTTCGCCTTCTTCTTGTTCTTCTCCTTCTTTTTGTCTTCCTTTTCTCATCCTCAACTTGCGCCACCTCCTTATTCTCCGATTCCTCCTCCTTCTTTTTTTTTCTCTTTTCTTATCCTCCACTTTCTCTTTCTTGTTGGTCACTGCTGCCATCCGCTACAGAAAATAATATGGCTCTCTTTAAACAAAAAGAAGGAGAAGAAGAAGGAGAGGAACAAGAAGAAGGGTGAGCAGGAAAGGGAGGAGGAGGAGAAAGAGGAAGAGAAGAAGGGGAATATGGGGATGAAGTATGAGGAAGGAAAAGTAGGTGATGACTTGAATTTCACATCTTTCTGACGAAAGGTTGTATTATATGCGAAGAAAAGTTGGGTTTCGAGGAATCTGTTGTTTCATTTCTCTTTCACTCGAAATGGAAGTAAGCTCAACAGGTTGTATTATGTCCCCACACCCGATAAATCTGTCTCCTCATGTCCTATCATCAGCTCAAATCGCCCCTCCGATGATCAAGTCTCAGCTGCCCTTACAAGTGAGTCAAAAGCGTGCATCTTCCTATCCACTTTGCTGGAGGGAAATTCAACTACCAGTTCTACATTGCCTTGAATTACACAGACCAGATATCTTCTCCTTCATGATCTGCTGAGAGTTTAGAAGCATACTTCCGGTGTCACCATTAAAAGTGAATCTGGTACGATCTGGCAATTTCGAGACTATTGAGACAACTTGACTATTTCCTTATTAAGTTGAGGATTTTTCAGATATGCTATCAATAAAACTTGTTAGCTTGAATTTGGTTGTGAAGATGATACATTGCTCTGATGATGTTCGTCATGTGACGCACGAAAGCTTAGCAACTTTTTACCGGAATCGAAGGAGATTGCCTTGGAAACAGCGTCAACAAGAATGTTCCAGTCAAGCCAATCGACAGCTGGTCAAGACGAATCCGCCGTCGTCTTCTGGTGGAGTCGACCTTTGAATCTCTTCACCAAACACTTTCACTCGAAATGGAATTCTGAGTTTAACTTTTCCCAACCGCGACAAAAGACAAAGACAGAAGATTACGAGGCGACCATATATCGGCCCAGTGTCCTCAGATACAGTTTTAACCACCGAGCTATCTTTGTCTGCGAAAGCGGCTGCTTTTGACCGATAGAATGCTTTGGCTCAGCAATCCGTTGACCAAATTACTCTTTGTTCTCATTACTACCGTTCTCTCGACGGCCAAAGACTTTTGTTCAGGCCGGCCGAACATGCTGTCCACGACATTGTTTTGCCAGTATTCTTCTCTTCTCGTTCCCCATCGCAACTGGCCTTGACGCGATTTGGCCATTCCCGCCAAAATGACCTGCCATCTTTTCCTTCTTCGGACAACTGGGCCGTGGTGCTCACCTCCTAAAACGGTCTTTATGCTTTTTGCCCAATTCTGTCGCCTCTCTTGTTGAGGCAGAAGACCCATTTTTCACCACCCTACAAATGACCGTCTGTTTGGGCATAATATCCCTTCGGCTCTACACAACAGTCCAGCTAGCCTGGCAACTAGAACAACAACTTGCCGAGACCAAGTGATGACAGTAACCTGCCCTCTGGCGGCGGTATCTCTGGGCTCCATTCTCTGCTTGGTAGTCATACAATTGAGTAAAATGCCTCCAACCGGAGTTAACACAAACGCGGCGTGGGTTCGAGAACAAAATCGTCAGCCTTTCGGCAGAGGAAATGCGAGAATCAGCCAGGCATCTGAGTGCTTGTCCTTAAACTCAATGCCACGCTACTGGCGTTGTTATGAGTGGTCTGTTGGCCAACTGTATCGTTGTGTGATTCGACGAAGCTGTCGGCGTTACTTGTTCATTCGTGAGCCCAGAAGTCAACCGTTTCAGTTCGCGAGGCGAGTTGGAAAGCTTCATTTGAGCTTAAAGAAAAGGCTCTTTCGAACGCAAAATCGGCTCTCTCCCCGATTCTTGGTGAATAAAACACTTTTCAACCCTTGAAAAATCATACAAAACTTGAGCATAATGACAGTTGCCATTTACCTTATGTTTTGGCAAGCATCTACCGACTTGAGGGGACCTGAAGTTTGTATTCAAGGAACATTTGAGCAAAGTACTGAAAAGCTTTTTCTTTATTAAGCTATTTTTTTCCCGTGATCCCAGTTACTCTCGCTGAATGTGGTTGGCCTTTTTAAGTGGTTGCATGAGCCGCATCGATAGGACCCTTAACTAGCAACTGTGTGCCTTGACGACGCATAGCAATGACGCAAAAGACCAGCTTTGAGCCCTGTTCTGGGTGTGGGATCGAGTCTACCGTCTCGGCCGTAGGAAAATGACTTTTTTTGAAGCAAGATCGAATGAAAATTAGCGCAACCATGCGATATGCTACCCATTTGATTGCGCAAATTTCGTTCTATGCTGACCCCGTTTCTTAGCAAACGTCTACTGCCGATTTCG